TGAGAAAATATCAAATGTTTTTAGCAAGAATTTGTAAAAGTGATCTACAGAAAGAGTTCCTAAAAAGTTTTTTTTTTTTCAATATTGATTTGCTAAAGATATTGAAAAAGAGAAAGGTTAGTAAAATAGTTATCTATATATATATTAAATGAAAATACAGAAAATAAAAGTTGCTTAACAAGATGGTAAACTAAACATCCAGTTTTACTAAAATTACACACTTTCATTACATTATTTGGAGAGACACATGACATTAGTAAAAAGGTGTAAGTGTATCCTAATTTACAAAAAGATAAAATTTTAAAACCTTCTGAAGTTGGCTTGTTTTTAATTCTATTAGTATGAATACTTCTTTTGAAAAATCAAATAACTATTTTATCCACTAAGACATTCAAATTTGGTACATAAAGTTGTTTTGAGATATTATGAATATGTAAAAGCATTGGCTTCAACTTCTTGAAATAATTATTAATTATTATAGTAAAAAACAAAATATGTAAGAACCTTTTAATTATTTCAAAAACATTTTAGTGATATTTGTTTTGACATATAATATACAGAAAGCTTTTCATTTTCATTCCAATATTGGTCAAGAGAGAGCAATCTATAAAGTTCTTAATAAATAACAAGTGCAATCTAGATAATGAGCTCTTTATGACTTAAGTTCAACTATTGTCTACCAATTACACTACAACCTTTTGTTAAGACATAAAGGTTCATATTCTCAACAATTGTGTCTAGTATGCTAAGTAGAACAAAAAGAAAAAAAAATTTGATAGGCCTAGAGATACTGACATCAAAATGTGATAACAACTAAACAAATATTCAATGCAACAGTCTCTGATAGACAAATAGTTCAAAGTCTAAGAGTAATAGTAACAATTCTTATTTGTTTTTTGATAACTTCATTTTTTTATATGAGCACCTTCTGTACTTAGTTCCATCTTTTCTTTCTCTTTCTTATTATCTGATTCTGGATAATCAAGATAATGCTGATGAATTATTAAAAAAGATATGTATTCTTCTTTATCATCTACATAAACTTTCTAAATTTCAAGAGAAGGCAAAGTCAAATCAAATGTAAAGAACATTTTATTAATAATTAAAAAATTTTTTTGGCTTTATTAACAATTGAGAAGTTTTTTTATTATTGCACTAAATTTTTATTAATAATTAGAAGGAGATTTTTTTTTTTTTTTTTAGTGTTAAGGTGACCTCTTTGGTCTTTTAACTTTTATTAATCACTTATTGGTATTGTAGTTCAATGAACTACTACAGAAGAGTGTACAATTGGCTACATGTATAACTTTTCTATATTATCTATTTAAGAAATCTACTCAAAGATTCTCTACCAATTGCCATACCTAACACTCTTGCTTGGATGTTCTACTTTAAACCTTCTGAACCTGTAACTTGTGTTAACATCACTAAGTCATACCCAGATGTCCAAATCATCATCTCAACCTTAGGACTAATTTATTCTTGAGGTAAACCTCCTAAAGCCTTCTGTATTCATTTTTATAGCTGACCTAGGTATTGCTATGGCAGAACCAACACTTGTGGTTATGGCTAACCATTAAACTACTATGCCTTTGTAAAGTTCACTTAGACTCCAGCATCTACTTCATAGCATAACTCTGGTACTTTAGTATACCTCTGCCTTTTCTTCTGCCCTTTTACCAAACTTCCAATCCAGATAGCCCATATAGAGCTACAATTAGTCTATTGATATATCAGTTGGCCTGATATCCTTTTCCTCTAGTTCGTTCTGGCAGCCTAGTTAGTGGTATCTCCAAGACTTTTTAACCTGGAGGTTCTTGCCTGTCCAGCTACTAGAACCAGGTACTAGACCTAGGTATCCATTTCACCAGGCTAGCCTTTACAGTAGAGCCATTAAAGATCCAGCTACCTCTCTACTTGTGTCTTCCTAAATAGACTTCTTGTTATCTAATTTTAATAGATTTACATAGCTACAAGGACTTATCTAGTGTTTGCACTGCTTGATATGTCAGTTTGCATTTCTTTGTATAACTCCAACATTGCACAGATGTCCTATGACCTGCCAGTCATACTGGTGCGACTGCTATTACAGGTATTCTAACCCAACTGTTAGTAACAGTTGAGTAATATGAATATTACATAGGTAATTATCCAAATTTGCCATCGATGGGATTTGAACACCCAACCTATCACTTGGGGAGTTGACAACCTGACTACTTCACTAGGTTGCCACACCACCTTTTTTTTTTTTAATAGAAAGTTGATTTTATTTTATTATTTAAATAATAATCTTGAATTAAGTATCTATTGGCAAAATTTTATTTTATGACAATATGATTGATGCAAATGAAATACTCTAAGTTTAATTACAGATTTTAATATATACTTTAAATTATTCTTAGTTTATTTTCTAATAAATAAAAGTATGCTAAAGGTTTTAATCTAATTTAAATTGTATGTTAATAAACAGATAATTACAAGATCGATTACATATTAATTTTATTTATTTATTTAATTAAAATAAACTTGTTTATTACTTTTAAAATAAATCTTATTTTTTTTGTACATAAATTTTAAAAATAAAGTTTATTTTAAAAAATGCAATTAGAATTCAGAATGCCAAAACCATGGATTAAAATTTCAATAAAAAATTAGACCCAGGGCTGATTTGAATATAAAAGAAATACTATAAATATAAAAATGTTTCTTTAGCAATTTTAACTAGTACTTTAAAGCAGGTTTTGACTGCCTTTTTTTCATATTTCTTATATCTTTACTTTTTTTTGTTTTTTTAGAATAATTTAAATTATTGCTTAAATTGGTTAATTTATATAAATAATATATAACTTTGACAGACCTATTAATAGTATATAATAAGTGATATGAGCTGCTTTTATTTTACCTTAGGAAATATAGAAGGTGTCTTAAAAACATCAGAAGTAATTACTTATAAATCAGCAAAAAATTATTTTAGTATTTAAATTTGAATACTAGATGGTTTAAGAAATAAAATATTTATATAAGAAAAATAAAATTACATTTTTTTTATATTTAAAAAAAATATTTAATTATATATTTGATTCTTTTTATAAATTTGAAAAATGGGGTATGGCGACCTAGTGAAGTGGTCAGGTTGTCAACCCCCCAAGTGGTAGGTTGGGTGTTCAAATCCCATCGACA